GCAATAACCGCCCCTCTGCTATACCTAAATCCGTCCCTGGTAATGGGTTTAGAAAATTTTGGTAAACATAACTGATAAACTAGCTTTTGATGAATTTCAAATTTATAGTTCATAAATTATAACTTGTGATTGAAAATCTAGCTTACAGGATAAAAATGTTTAGTAAAATTAACTAATAAATTAGCTGAAATAAAAATTTCAATAGCTGCCCAAAGATGCTTATGAAATAAGCACAAACTAATTAAAAGAAATTAGTCCTATTAAACCATGTTTATTTAAATATATCTTATAAACTAATTAAATAAGATATAAACTAACTTATATGTTTACCAAACACAATCTTAGTGTAATCTACGAAGACACTACCCATACAAGTATGAACGAATTAACTAACCATTAGATCACACGCACTTTCCTACACCCACGTATGTATATGTTGTTCAAGCAATAATAAACTTTATACTCCCTCTGTTTTATATTATTTGTCCTTATAGCTTAAAAAGAAAAGCAAAATTTTATCTGTTTTAACAAATTTCTCTTTTGAAATTTTATCCGTTTTAACAAATTTTATCCGTTTTAACAAATCTCAAACGACATATATTAAAAACGGAGGGAGTATAATATAACTCAGATAATTTAATGCATAAGATTTCATCCAAAAAATTTTCAAAGAATCACTTGGAGTGCTATATAAATGTGGAAATTGTGTTATATCAAGTGTCTGGAAGATTCGACCCTTCAAATCACATGTGTGTGTATGTAAGTGTGCATCAGTCTTGTCGTGAAAAAATTCAAGTAATCAACTTTTTTGTTCGTTCATTCATCAGAAAGATTGGCATTTAAGTACACATCCAAACTGATCTCATACAAATCATGGTAAAAGTATAATACATTTTTCCCATGGATACAAATCAACATATCTTGTATAATAAAGATATTATGAATCTATATTACTCCAAATATAATCATCTTAGACGAAAAAAAAAAAAATATAAAAAAGTTGTATGCTAGTTGTTTGAAAATGAACCCTGATGTGAAAGGTGTGAAAAACGATTAAAAAATTCTTGGATATAATTTTTTTTTGTTCTGATTGGATTTTTTGGTTTGAGCTGGTTAAATTTGAAAAAATTGGTAAGGTTGGTTGTTAGTGAGTATATTAAAATAAAATAATTCAAATTAATTTAATATAAAAGTAGGAGAGAAAATTTGATGTGATGATTAATTAAAATATACTGGATTAAGATTCATGTAGTGCGTAAAAATGATTGATATTATTTAATTATATTAATAATAATGATGATAGTGGATAAAATTGAGTGAAAAAAAGTGGTTAAGTTAAAAATAATTGTATTTTTTTTTTTGGATGAATTTATATCCAAGCATCCTCTAACTTATTCCAAAAGTAGGCCACAGAATCTATATCTATATAAAAAGAATTACCATTTTTTAAAAATAGTAGGTCAAATTCTGGTCAAATCTTTAATTACATTCCATACTTAGTAACTTTTTTTTTTCAAAAAAATCAGCATTAAATGCTACCCTAAAATTATGGTATTTGTTACTTTTCTTTCAAAAAAATCATGCTACCTTAAAGAAACAATATTACATACCATAAATTTTTGGCGAACTAAAGTGTTTTGTTTGGAAACTATTATATTTTAATTAAAATTAATTACGGTTGATTTAATCTTGAAATGGTACAACAATTTTATTTTTTTTAATTTGCACCCTAAATTTATATATTTTGTAGATTTAATTTAGGTAAATTTCGACTGATGCAAAAGTCAATTTTCTTTCTCTATTTGTATTAAAAATCTTATTAAAATAAAATCAAGAATTTTGAATTAGGCAAAATACTATCATATATATCTTTTACTAATTGCAAAAATCAATTATTTATTATAAAAATCGGATTGCATAGTCGGTATGACAATTTTGTAAAAGTCAAAGTTCTTTCATTTTATTATTAAAAAAATATGTTTACCATACAATCGAGAATCATGAATTAGACAAAACACTATAACATGTATCGTTGCCTAATTGTAGCAGATCATGTTTATTAAAAAAAATCGGATTACATAAAAATCGGGCCAAATTTCAAATTAAAATTGAAAAATATTTTATCATTTGATTACTACTTTCCTTAATTCAACTTTTTTTTAAACATAAAACAAAGTCATATAATATTAATTTGAAATTCAAAATGAAATCGGATTGTAACATCCTAAAAAATTGGGTTTTATTTAATTATCTAGAATACAAATTTGAATCTATATACATATTAAAAGCCAACCTATTTACCAAAAACAGTAGCAAGAAAAGTCAACACACATTTAATACATACTTTATTTAGATTTTTTTTACTATATGCATTAAAAGCTTGCATATTTATATTTACTATCCAAATATGATCTTCAAAATTATTTTTCTTAAATAATTTATGCAATGATTTTACTGATATCCATTATAATTAATATTTGTTGAGTAATATTTTTTAACTTTTATTTAATTATATAACACTAATATTTTTTAAAAAATTAATATTATTTATTATTAAAAGATAATGATCACGTCATTAAATGATTTTATTGATGGTTAGATAATAAAATTATAGTTATTCTTTAAAATTTCGACATGTTATTTATTTGTATATTATTGTCAACTAGGAGTGTTTTTATCACTTTTTTTTATGTTTCAAAAATGAAGTTATTATAAAATATTTTTCTATTGCATATTATGTTATATAAACTATAAATCCTTAGGATGAAAATTAAAAAAAAATATCTTGATTATGTAAGGGATTTATTTTTTTGGCAATTGCTAAATCATTTTTTTTTTAAAAAAAAGAATTATTATGGGAAAATTGAATTCTAAAAAACATGTGTGTGTATTTTGTAAATATTTATACTCAAAATTTTATTTTGAATTTCATTACATAAAGAAGACTACTTCTATAACTTTTATAAATAATAATAATAATTACATTATATAACTGTAAATTTTATAATAAAATAATAATTGAGTATTATATGGTGAACAATAATTAATAAAATTTTTATTTTTTCATATATCAATGAA